TTTTTTTGAAAAAGTACTTTAAACTGTATAAATAATGTAAAATTAAATTGACTTAAACAACCAATCATATGAAAGTCATCCTATGACCAATCCTTATAAAATATAATCAAATGCCCGTGGAGGTAATCTTGGTAAATCAAAAAAATCTTCATGAGCTAAGGATAGTAAAAACAAATGAAAGCATATTAGAACTTAAATATATTTCCAATATTTTAATTTAAATACTAATTATATTTACCCAGGTATAATTAAAGATTTTATAATATACCGAGATTTTTAGTCTGCAAAATACGATACTAGCTAGTAATGTATTTGGTATCAATTTACATAAAAAGGCATCGCTATAACTTTGAAGTCAAGTTTAGATGGCTTTATCTACCTCTGTCATGAGAGCATAGCGTTATAGATCTATAAGTTAGTTCAAAATATAGTATTAATTCTAATATAGAGTTGAAGGGTCTCTAAATAAAGTATAAAAACAACTATACCTCAGCACTTATTAAGTTCTTAAATCTCTACTAAATGTACTGTATCTATTTATTATCTGGTAGGACATATTATCGATCAAATTTAAAAAAATACTTTAGTATATTGTTAAACAATAATAATTAAAAAAATTACCTCAAATTTATCTATAAATAATATATACAATATATGCACATCGCCTATTTTATCAAAAAATGAGTAATTGTATTAATGACCCAAATTACATGTATATCACTTTTTTAAGGAAATAGCAACCTTGCATAAATCACTTCTTTGAGAAAAATTAGTTACCTTGCATAAACTACTTTTAGTAGTGACTCTGCATAATAAATTCCAGTACTTGAACTGCATAATTATGTAACCCCAATTCCTATTAGGAATATTTAAAGCCAAACCAAACTGAAACTTATATTAAAAATTACTAAATCACTGCAATACGAATTTCATCAATAGTGTTTGAATAAAAATCACATATATTAATGTAATAAGTCGTAAATTTATTTTGCTGTCAAAATACTAAGGCCATGCGGAACTGATCCAGAACAAACAAAGAACACAACCTTTAAATGCTGATATTATTGTTTGGTAGGTGATCTTCAGGAAAATTCAGTAACCTTATATAAATCATGCATTAATAATCCTAAATAACCTTGTATAAATTATTATGCAAGTGTTGGATGTTGTTATCAGTATGAAATTTGAATTGGGGTGAAAAGGATGAATATAAAACATTCATTTATTACCAAAATTCTGCAGAGATAGATCATATATAATGTTAGGTATTGTTATTGAAATAGAATTGAAGTTGAAAAGGATGACTTTTGACGATAACATTTCATAATAAATTTTAGTATTGTATTTGTATGAAATAATACTCACAGGCGTTATTTCAGAATCCGAGTTTGAGATGGTCTAATGATTAATTTAACTAAAGACTTTTAATAACAAAGAATTATGATTTATACTCGAGTTAAATTAATTATTAGCTTACCTCAAGCTCGTCCTGAAATAATGCTTATAGGCGTTATTTTGCATAACTACAATACTTAAACTCCATAATTATGTGATCTCAACTCTTATTCATAATCTTTTATACAAAGTATATCTGATCATGCATGTCTACAAAAGAATTTAAAAGATTTGATTTAATCATTATAAGCCTGTAATTTAAAACAAATAACTTAGATAAATAAGTTTAAAATCAAAATTACCATAATATAAATTGTATCAATAACATTTGAACAAAATCACAATATTAATATAGTAAGTTGTAGATTTATTTTGCTGTCAAATACTAAGACCATGTGAAACTAATCCAAAACAAAGAAAGTATCTTTTAAATTCTGATATTATTGTCTGTTAGGTGATCTTCAGAAAAAATTAGTAACCCTACATAAATCATGTGTTATAATATTGCATAAATCACTTTAAATAATGATCCTGATAATAATTTCTTGTACTGTATTTGCACAAAATAATGCTCATGAGCATTATTTCAAGACCGAGTTTAAAATGAGCTAATAATTAATTTAATTGAAAACTTTTAATCAGAATTTGATTTATGCACTAGTTAAATTAATTATCAGCTCGCCTTAAGCTCGTTTCCCAAAATAACGTCTATGGGCATTATTTCACACAAATACAGTACTTAAACCCCATAATTATATAATCTCGGCTCTTATTCGTAATCTTTCAAAGTATATCTAACTGTATACGTCTATAAAAGACCCATTTTAAAAGCTTTTACTTAATAATCATATGCCTATAGTTTAAAAACAAATAGCTTAAATAAAAAATTTAAACCGCAATCCAAAATCAGAACTTATTGTTGAAAGAATCACTAAATTGTTGCAATATAAATTTTATCAATTGCATTTGAATGAGAATCACATGCATTAATGTAGTAAATTGTAAATTCATTTTGTTGTCAAATACTTACATGATTCAGAACAAAGAATATAATCTTTAAATACTGATATTATTGTAGTATATTAGCACATATGTATATACAGCATTTAAACGGCATTCAATACGATATTGATACTCTGAATAAGTTATAGACCTGGTTTTCTTAATAATTTTTTTTTAGTATTTAATATAAAGAACAAAATACACAAAGCTATAAATTGTAGCTTAAAAATCCTTTGTGCTTTTTTTTTTACTCAACAATTTTATTTCTAAAGTTATATCTTAGTTCAAAAAATATAACAATGTTGAGTATTGAATCTAAAAAAACTTTGCTAGAAGTTGAGAAATTGTTAGATGAATATAATTCTCAAACTGAAAGTTCCCAAGCCAGTTCAAAAAATATAAGCGTCGTTATAAAACAAAAAGACAATCTGCACTATGCTGAAAATATTTTAAAAAAGTAGAAAAAGAATCAGTATGTGATGTTAAAATTAAAATAAATGGAAAAGAAATGAAGTGTGGAAAAATATTTAAATATCTCTCCAGATGGTCAACGTCCAACATGAATTCACATCTTGCAGACGAACATGATATAGTAAAATTTCAAAAAAATAAAATAAATAATCGACTTCATGATTTTATCTAAAAAAAAGTAAATTTAATAAATTTAGTCAATGAATTTTAAAGTAATGCAAAAGGTTTCTAGCAAACTATCACTACTATGCTACAACGTGTTGTCCCTTACAAATGAACTAAAAAACTTAATATTTGTTACACTGTTGTGGAATGGCTTGTGATTGATAATCGATCATTTGAAGTTATCACCAGAGAAGAGCTTCATAGATTTATATTACAAGTAGACTCTGCCTTTCGTCAGCCTTCTTATAAAGCATTAAAAAAAGAAATATCTATTGCAAATATAACTACAAAAAACCAAATAAATGATCTTTTAGCGCAAAGTAGTAAAACAATTTCTCTAACAACTGACCTTTAGACAGCAAAAATAAAACAGGATATATTAGAATAACTGCTCATTAGTTAAACGATAAGTTTGAATTAAATAAAATCCTGCTTGGTTTAGAGTCAATGCCGTATCTCCATACTGGTCATATTATTAAAAAATTTCTTATTAGTAAAGCACAAGAATTTAATTTACAAAATAAAATTCTTTGTATTGTTACTGATAACGGTAGTAATATGGTAAGGGCTATAAGAAATTGGGAGAGTATAGAAAGATTGCTATGCACGGCCCATACCTTACAATTATCGATCAATCACACATTTAAGGCAAAATATCGACAAATTATCCATATACAAAAGTTGGTTAAATTTTTTGATTCACCTAAACAAAGTCAGAGGTTAGATACTGCACAAATTGAAACGTATAAAAATAAACAGAAAGAAGTGTCTCATAATAATCCAATTTCATCTGATGAATCTAAAAATGATGCTAATTTTAAAGATAAGGAGGATAATAAAATAATAGTTGATTATAAAATAATTATAAATAAGTTTGTACCTATATTGCGAATTATTAAAAATATACCAACCTGTTGGAATTCCAAATTTCGATCATAAAAAAGGTTAATTGAGCTGCACCCTGCAATCAAATAGCTTTCAGCAACATTGTCTCTTGAAGATAATTCAGAAGCACAAAAAGATAGTCAAAAATTAAACAGTTTGATGCTGAAAGATACTAAATAGAATCTTGTTAAAAGGTTAATTAAAATATTAGAACCTTTCAACAGTGCTACTGAATATTTTAGTGCTGAATGATATCTTACTATAGCGTATATTCATTCATTAATAGAGGCAATGAAGGTTCATTATTCAACAAATATAGATATTGATGAATATGATTATAATAATGAAGGTATAAAATTTTAATATCAGTAGCTAAAATTATAAAATGTTGCGCATTTAAGTAAAAAAAAAAAAAAAAAAATTGTTGCAAATGATCATAAAATCAGATGATATTATAATTATTGTATCTGATTGTTAGAGTTAGGCGATTAGCTTATAAAAGTTTTAGATTTTATAATCATCTAAGTTTCACGATCATCTGCAACAAAATAACACGTCAAATGATAATCAAAGTGTTTTTGCACCTTAGTTATTATATAAAGCTAAAGACCTGTCTGATATACCAATTTTTCTAATGTTACTAATATATACTTATCGAGTATATATAATATTAATTATGTTAGGTCGTCAAGAAATATCTAATTATGATTCGGAGTCTGAGTCGTCAGATAATGAAAATGAAAATGATATATCCTTTGATACTCAAAAAAATCAGTCAGAAAATCAGCTAGAAAATGACCCTGAATTAACTGTAAAACATATACAAAAAATAATATATAACTTACTTTTTTGAATATTGGGATCACCCATCACAAATTTGCCTTCTCGCAACATTATTAGACCCTCG